CTCTTATTTTTTTACATTCAGCCACAATCTCTCATGTTGCGGCGGGTGTTCGGCGGTAGCAGGCAGGTCGGCAGCACAGAAGTGTGGGAAAAGTAGAGAAAGTTATTTGGATTGATGTGATATATGAACTTGGGTTATATCTATCTATCTATCTATCTATCTATCTATCTATCTATCTATCTATCTATCTATCTATCTACAGTATCTATCTCTCTACTGGAGATCACAATAGATCAATGTATGCACGTGCATTACATTTCAGTCTAGGCTCTATATTTTAAGTAATGATTTGCCAGAAATTAGACCTTGACAAATATAGCATTAGGGGTTTATTCACTAAGCTGTTGAAGACAGCCGAATGAATAACCAAGCCAAAGTGAGCTGAAGCATGTTCGGCTATTCACTGCAGCCTTGTACTGCTATTTTGAGCCCTATATCGGCTACATTTGGCTCGCTTCTCCTCCCTTCAGCTCAATCAGACAGCCTCAGCGCGTTCGGCCGAACCGAAGGTAGGAGCCTGTTCACCTCAGCCGATGAAACATTTGAATCAGCTGAGGCCAATGTTCGGCAGTTCATTCCCTTTATCTCCAAAGGGCCAAATAGTAGAGAGTGAATTGCCGTAACGCTAGGCTCAGCATTCTATTCGGTCATTCTGCTTGGCTACCTCAGAGGTAGTGAAGCAGAATGAAATATGACAATATAAACAACTAAAAAAAGACAACACAGCATGTGGACCCCTTCCCAATTCATACCAGACCCTTTAGGTCTGGAATGTTAGGGGGGACCCCTGATGTAAAAAATAAAAAAAGAGTGGGGTTCCCCTACAAGTCATACCAGATCCTTTAGGTCTGGTAGGTATTTTAAGGGTGGCCCCATGGCCCCAAAAAACTGTTAAAAAAAGTGGGGTCCCCCTTAAAATTCCATACCAGACCCTTAATCCTGGGGTGGGGGGTGGACCAGGCCATATGCTTTTAACACTGCCAGGGTGCTTGAGAGCATGCCAATGAGGGCAAGGGCCTCTTCCCTACAACCCTGGCCTGGTGGTTGTGGGGGTCTGTGGGCAGGGGGCCTCATCTACATGATGCCACCCTCACTTGTGAATGAGTAAGGGGTAGTTGTTACCCCTACTTATTCACCAAAGAGTACACAAAATATTAAATAAAAACACCATGCCTTGCAAAAGTCCTTTATTTGAACAAAAAACAAAAGCCAGTTTTTGACAATTCCTTTATAAAAAAAAACAAAAAACCTTCAAATTGTCCATCGATCACTTAACTCGCTCCGCCCATTTTTTTAGATGTTATTTGAAGACAGAGATCTGTAATGAAATGGAAACAAATGGGTGCGGAGCTAGTCGTGATGTCACGACTTGCTCCGCCTATTTGTTTACATTCAGCCACAATCTCTCATTTTGCGGCGGGTGTTCGGCGGTAGCAGGCAGGTCGGCAGCACAGAAGTGTGGGAAAAGTAGAGAAAGTTATTTGGATTGATGTGATATATGAACTTGGGTTATTTCTTTCAGAGGACTGATCACTGTATTATTCAGATTTGATTACTCTCACTGAGATGTTATTCGGGTGGATTTAATCAATTATTGGATATATTTGATATATTTATTTTTTAGTGAAAAACGTTTGAGCACTATTGTTACACATGACCTAATTGGTGCTATAGCACATTGGTTATTATCATTTTGTTTTTATGTGATTTTTATGGAATTTGTTCCATATTATAATATTTAAGCACAGTGCACTTTTCTATACATATTTTGAAGGTGATACACACTTTTAACACAGCAGCTGTTAGTGAGTTTGGTTTCCCCTAGCGCGGATCATGTTATATTATTATAGTGTTAAACCTTATGTGATCCCTAATGTTTCCCCTGAGACAAAACCCCAGCTGAGCCATGGAACATGCTTATGTGTAAACCATCTAGAGATATGCCAAAGGACAGTTGGACTGGACTCGTATGTCCAGTCTTTCTCTTATGTTTATTGACAGATGCATAAAGTCATTGGGTGTTCGAGGAAACTAAAACATAAATTGTTGTCAACAATGCGCATCAAAAAAAGGAAGTCTTTAAATAGAATTGCCAGTGAAATATTGGTAGTCTTCTACTGTAGTTTCAGTATGTGCCTTTTTAAGAGTTTTCCTATAGATTTCATCAGCAGAATGCCACCACAGAAGAATCTAATTCTTGAATTTATGTTATGTCTTCACTCAAAGAGATCCAGCTGCAACTGTTGGAGGGGAGCTTCTCTTTGGAGGCATGGACCCTAAATACTTCACAGGAGATTTTCACTATCTGAATGTAACCCGTATGGCTTACTGGCAGATCAAGACTGATGAGTAAGTATTTTACTAATCATCCCATTATCCTTTGCATTATGTAGTATCTTCTTCTAATTAAAGCAAATACATGGGGCGGAAAATGTAAAAAGGAAGGTGGGTGGGCCACCAGAGGTGCCATTGCTCATGCCACTCTGGGAACCCCATGACAGTATCACTGTCCTCGGGAATGGGCAGATTGACAGAAATGCCAGTTGATAGTTACTCCTTAGCCTTTGTGGATAACAGATTCACACCTCCCATTAATTGGTTATTTTGATTATATGACACAGGGATAACCACATGATTACATGGCCCAAAATAAACAGTGAGTAAAAGTCATATGGCTGTCATTTATTGTTTAAGAGCTTTCTCACATGTTTCATATGCAACCATTAGGGTGATCCATTTAATCAGGCAAACATATAATCTGGAACTGGCTTAGAAACCTATACATACATACATATACAGTTGTGTGAGAAAGTGTTGGCCCCTTCCTGATTTTTCATTGTTTTGCTCAAACAAATTTAAATATTAGTCAAAGATAACACAAGTAAACACAACATGCAGTTTTTAAAGGAAGGATTTTATTAAGAGAAAACAAAATCCAAACCCACATGGCCCTGTGTGAAAAAGTGTTTGCCCCCCCCCCTTCGTTAAGACATAACTTAACTCTGGTTTATCACACCTGAGTTCAATTTCTCTAGCCACACCCAGGCCTGATCAAGAAATCACTTAAATAATGCTGGGCACACACCTTACATCATGCCGAGATCTAAAGAAATCCAGGAACAAATGAGAAAGAAAGTAATTGAGATCTATCAGTCTGGAAAAGGTTATAAAGCCATTTCTAAAGCTTTGGGACTCCAGCGAACCACAGTGAGAGCCATGCGTGTGTGTGTGTTTGTGTCTCTGGACCAATCTTTATAAAGTGAGAGGAGCATTCTCTACACTCATGGAGTGCAACCTGGAGATTGCAACCACATCTGGGGCCACAGGAACGTTCTTGGGAACACCTGGGGTGCAAAACAGCCTTATGATAATTAACGCCAAGTTGGTGCTTTAAGGGCTGGAAGGATTTGTTCTCGCCTTTTTCTTGAAATACAGTACACTCAGGCTAGTATTTTCCAGAGTGTTGGTGTGGGGAGTTTTTCTTTAAATGATCATTCGCAGATATACAATTTAAACGTGTTTAAATGCGAAATGACCGTAATGTTGCAGGCTTGCCTTTTTCTTTATATCTTTCCACTTTATTTCACTTTATTTACTCTGACAGAAAGTCTGAAACTACTGCTCAAAGAATAAGTGTATTATCAGACACTTACTCATTAAGCCTAGTTGGCATGGCCAAAAATGGCCAACCCCTCTTCTAGCTGCCTATTTACCTGATTAAAAGTGCCATAGCCTCCTCTACTGTATAAACGTGGGCTTGTTGGAAATGCACAAGCCTATTTAGATGTAACTATGTCTTTTGAGCACTAGATGGTGCTGCAGTGCAAAACTAGTTTATGCTAGTTTTTTTCTGTATGCATTTTTGTCTATGATATATAATGCTGTATTCTGGTGTAATGTTCTCCTAAGCAAGTAAAACTTAATTTAGCATTCCTCAACATCTCAGTACTTCATCTAAACACATAACCAACGGGGCTCTCATAGTTTTGTATATGGCCATCACCTGAGACTGAATGCACTACTAATACTTATCCTTCCCACCCTTCCATTCTGCACTATTTGACTTCCACAACCCTATGTAAGTTCCATGTCATTCTGTGTTGGAAGGAGAAAGGTCACATGCTGTCTTACACCTGTATGTTCCAGTTATTTCCTAGGGCTCAAAAGCTTCATAGTTTAGCAAAAGCTATGTCAGTATTTTTTTCTAAAATAATCATGTGACAGAAGGAGTGGAGCTTTTACAAGATAAGTAATCATTCAACTGTGCCAAAAGCAACATGATATTTCAAGAGAGCCCAGTCCACCATTGTTGCCAGCACCTCTCAGCTCTGAATTGTAATTCTCCTATAGTAGTGGGGGTGTGGATGTTGTCTTCCTTCTGCAGCCTCCATATAAAATGACATGAAACACTTACAGGGTGTTTGTCAGGAAACCAGGGGTGTCACCTCCCCACAGGGTCAATGGGCACGGCGCAGGGTACGGGTCTCCCTCCAGCCTGGCAGAACCACTGGCGCCCGGGTTGCAGGTGCGCATGCGCGAGTCGTGCGGCAGGTGCGCATGCGCAGTACGCAGGCTGCGCGCGCATCCCCAGGAGCACGTGCATAGTGTGCCTGGACCTGTTTAGGCCTCAGGTGTGGACCTAGCTTGGGGAGGTTCCCGTACACACCCCTACCACCTCTCGCCTGCCATTGGCTCTCGTGAAGAGAAGCCTCCTAGTTGCCTCGGTGACAGGGGGGCGGACTTACACCCCCTGGCTATAAAAACCTGGCCAGAGCTCTGGCTTGTTGCTGAGTTATCTCATCCTGTGGTGTGATTTCCTAGCTCCCTGTACATGTGCCTTGCTTTGTTTCCTGACCCCCTTTATCTGGACCTCCTGTTGCCGACCTTGGACTGCCTTTCGCCCCTGAACCTTTGCTGCCTGCCTCGACTCGGATTGGACTTGACTTCTCTTTGGATTAACCCTTTTGTACCTCTGCCTTCGGACGCTTCAGGCATTTCCTGCCAGTGAGTTCCACCTTGTTCTTCTGCCAAACCATTGGCACTCCTGACAGTGTTTGAGAACCAGAGATTTCCACCAGAGTCCCCAAGATATACAAGAGGATGATAAGTGGTTGAACTTGTAAGCATCTCCCAGAAAATGAAATGTTAGTTTTGAATGGGCAGATTTTTTAGCTTCTGCTTTCTACCAAACCATGAAAAAGATCTCACAATTGCAAGGGTAAAGATTTTTCTTTCCTTTCCACAGAGTCAGAGTTGGTAGTCAACTTACTCTCTGCAAAGGTGGTTGCCAAGCCATAGTGGACACTGGGACTTCTCTGATTACAGGACCAACTGCAGAAATCAGTGCTCTGCACAGAGCCATGGGTGCTTTTCCACTTTTGGGTGGTGAGGTAAGAGCCATAATTAATTTATAGGTGAACTATATACATTAAATGCGTATTGAATTATTGCAAAATATTGCAGCAAACTTTATTGCAGATTCTTACCTTTCTGTTTTAGGTATTGATTGATGAAGATGAAAAAAGAGGGGGTGTTTAACTCCTGGACATACAAAGTTCTAGTAATTACCCTTTAAAAGGTGATTCGTCTACCATATCAGTAACCAAAAAGTAATGCAAAAGAAAAGAGGGGTTGGACCCACCCAAGAGAGTGGGTGGTCCGAAGGGTTAACTAAGGAAGGGACGAATCGTATTGAATGGTGTAGAAAATTCTTTATTTTAAATAGAAAAATTGAATAAATACAGCCAAGGACTTACTGCAGTGAGTTTAAAAGCAAACAGATACTAAAAGCTTGGTCATAAGTATGACCAATGGTGGTCATACTTATGATCCACCAATGGTGGTCATACTTATGATCCACCATTGGTCATTGGTCACCATTCAATACGATTCGTCCCTTCCTTAGTTAACCCTTCGGACCACCCACTCTCTTGGGTGGGTCCAACGGCCCCTCTTTTCTTTTGCATTGATTGATGAAGGCTTTACCATACCCTTTTTGAAACCAACTGCTGAGTGGAAAAATGGTGTGCAAGTAGGAATGTGCCAAAAGCCTTAACCGGCATCTGGAGCGGCCATACTAATTCAAGAATTCTTGAATTATTCAAGAATCCTTCCAATTTTATCAGTCCAGTGCACACTTTGTTAAGAGTATCAAGCCCTGATGCAGGGGAATCCTTTAAATCCTCAAAATATGTTCGGTTTTTATGGGGAAAAAAAGTGTGAATAAAATTAAACCTGGACTTTATACATTCTGCTTCCGGCACTTTCTGCCTTTCACACCCTGTCCCTACTGGGGCCGACCTACAGACACCACTCCTGGAAAAGCTGCATAATGAAAATCATTCCCTCTAAACTGCTTAAGACCTGACTGAGGACACCTACTGCTTTAAGAGATCCAGCACCCCAAACCCTTCTTCTACTTCTAAGTCGAAGTCTGCCTTCATTATAACCACTTATGCAGTCTGAGAAAGAGCAGCCTTGGAATCCTTTTATTCTTAGGATAAGTTAAATAATATCTCACCAAAGTCAAAGTTACCATTGCAGTGGAGGTCTTAAATTTTACCTCAAGCTCTGTGCAGACATCTGGACAAATTAGTACAGTATACAGAATGCCCCCAGGATGACATGGTTGAAATGAAACATCATTTGATGTCTAAGGTTTCTTTACAAAATTATAGCTGGCTGAAGACTGAAATTAAAATGGGATGGAAAATAATATTAAACAAACCCCACCCTCCAGTTCAGTACCATCTATAAGCTGGGGAGAGAGTGGCTGAATATTTTCTGCTTCTTCTGATTATTTAAATGATTTCTGTTACCAATCTCTGTTCAATAACTATGGTGTGTGTTTTTCTCCATAGTATATGGTGGACTGTAGTAAAATACCATCGCTGCCTGTTATTTCTTTCATTCTGGGAGGAGTACAGCACAACCTTACAGGAGAAGAGTATGTCCTAAAGGTATAATTCATGCACATTTTACAACTGACTATACTCATCATACAAGAACATTTAGGGTTAGATATGTGATTTTTGCCAAATGTGTACAGTACTGGACCATTAATACAAATCTGCATCTCAGGCATGTTGGTCTATAAGAGTAACATGCATCCAGGCAGGAAATTAGAAACATTGCAGGGTGAATGGGGATGGTTAGACCATTTATCTGAATAACAACAAAGAGCAACTGCGGCTGTACAGCTCATTTTTTTGGTGGTGTCCCTTTTATTGACATAGACTTAGACAGATTTATATCAGCACACACAGAGAATGGTATACCACATTGTTGCCCTGATGAAGGGTCCCTACGTGGCCCCGAAACGTTGGTTATAATTATTGCAACATTTATGACGATCTGTGCTGGTGCTGGTGATTCCTATTAATTTGCTGCTTAGTGAGCTGGGCAGGACACCGGCCAGTGTGTCCAGGCTGCTAAGAGCTTGCAGCCTTGGACGCTCTGGTTGGAAAGGGGCAGCATGTGGGGGGGGGGGGCGGCAGGGGCACATCTGCCAATACATGACCCAAAGAGATGCAGCTGGAGGCAACCGTTGCAGGTTGTCTTCTTATAGGGATAATGCTGAGCAAGGGAATACTAGCCCAAGATGTTCTTTTTGCTGTTAGAGCTGTGAACCAAATGTCATTATAGTTGATTGACCAAAAATTATATATTCTATCTTGTGTGCTCTTATTGTATTTGGTCAGTGCTGGTTGTTACACATGTATATATGGTTACATATGTATGCACAGTACACTTCTATATTACTACAAGATGTTGTCTTAGCTTTGCTGTGTTTTGAATACTGTTACCAATTGTTTCTGAAAACATGTGTCGACTTTTAATTGACAGAAAGAGAGAAACATTTTATGCCTTTGTTTTAACAGATTTACCTTTCAAGCATTGCAGATTTTTTACATTATTCAAATATTTTTAAATTTATCAGAATCCGTCACCTGAGCTAATAGTTTAGAGATTGTGGATCTCTTTTTTTAATCTTCTGTGATGTTTGCATTACTAATAATAATTCTTTTTCTATATAGATATCGAAGATGGGCAGAAATTTGTGCCTCAGCGGATTCATGGGTTTGGACATCCCCCCACCTGCCGGACCATTCTGGATTATTGGGGATGTCTTTATTGGGAAATATTACACAGTGTTTGACCGAGACACCAATCGTGTTGGCTTTGCAAAAGCAATTTAGAAGTTAACTTCCTTGGGTGGAAATATGAAGGCTGCAATAGTTTTTGAACCTGTGACCTTAGTATTGGCATTAAAATAAGGGACTAAATATTCCGTTTTCTCTTTCCAAATCACACCCTTTCGATATTTACTCATTCTTTGTGAGCCCCCAATTCTATATTTTGGTGACTTTGACCATAGATATGTTAATGCTTAGTTTCTCCTCATAAATACCTTCAGAATGGTATAAAACAGTGATGGATACAGATGTTCAGACCCCCCAAAAAATGTTTGTGCAGAACCTTTGTTGCCGTTTGCCAAAGTTGCCATGTGACATCAAAGCTTCTGGGGAATAAGCAATCCTTAGTTTACACAGTACCAGGTTGCTCAATATCAGGATCCCAACCTGACAACCATGGTAAGTAGTCTGAACATACTATTTTTGTTTTGGTTTGTTGAAAAGAAACTACATCTTTGCCCAGTTTTAAATAAATCCTCCCCTATGAGTTCTAATCACTTAATATATGATTGAAGTCAAATATCCTCCTCCCTTAATGTGAACCTGATGTAGCCTAAAATGTGTCTAAAGAAATAACAGGGCTGAAGAGCACATTTGCAATTTTTTTTGTGCCCACATATACCTGTATTTGTCTTCAGATTCATCCCTGTGTCCTTTTGTATGCTGTTGTAGTCTAGGCGCAGGCTGTACACGGGGCATACACTTCTCTCCAAGGCTCCAAGACTTCTATCTAAGACTAAGTATGCCTTTCTGAATGCTAAGCCTCACCTTGTGCTATTTCACTGTCAAATGCCAGAACCTCTGCTTCCTTTAGGGCTATGACATTCGACAGTTGTATAACAGAACTTGAAATTCGTTTTACGAGGGGGAGGCTTAATCTTAACTTGGAGAGGAGTCAAGTCCAGGTCAGGTTCACTCTAATTGATGTCACAGGTCATGCTGCTTCTGCCTTGTTAAAATGTTTCCAATTTGGCTTCTCCTAAAATGCATTGCTTCAGTAGTTGACATGTGGGCTAGCGAAGGAAAAAGGGTGTATAGTATTAGGGAATGGATATATATGACAACTGACTCAAATAAAATAAAATAAAAAAATGGCCGATGAAGACCCTTTGCTACCATGTATTGAAATAACCCTTTCATGTAACCCTATGCAAATATGGCATTAAAAATAGGCTGTAAACTCTTTGGAGCAATTTTAGCAGTGTAAAAAGAGGTTTCCTCTAATTCAAGCTTTGAATGCATTTAAATAAAATATTTTTTAATCAATCATACCTGTTTGTCTTTTTCCTCAATCATACATATACAGAATGAAAGTATAACTACTGGATTAGGGTAGCCATACAGACAATGTATTGCCCCCCGTTAGACTGTGTTGGATTATGTTTGCATTGCATTAGTGTTTGGACATGTTCCTTGTGTGCTTCTTTGGAGATCATTTCAGATCACCATAGATACTGTATATCTTCTAAAAATCCCCTTGAATGGAGTATGATACATTTTAAAGCATGCTAAGTGCAAGTTACACATAATAATGAGCAATATAGTAGAGGTTAATTAAAAAAATGTTTGTTGCTGCATTTAACTTAAAGTGACATTAAAGGCAAACATTTTTTTCCCCTCCCCCCAATGTTAATTAAAGCACTTAACTTAAATTATGTCTTTTAATCCAATCTTCCTCTTCTTTCCTGTAGTTTTCACCCTTCTCTCCAGCGCTGCTGCGGGTCTCTGATCCAACACTGACTCCTCTGTCCTTGCTGGCACTTCCTGTCCCACGGTGTCTGCATGCGGGTGCACGCGTCCATACATTTACCTTGTGTCTCTCTGCGTCTCCCGGCCGAAAATCCAAATTGTGCTTGCGCCCGCTCCAAGATGCTTTGCGGCTGCCCGAGAATTTTCAGATGTTCGGACGGGAGCGCGCGGGGAAGACACAGGTAAGTTTAACCTCCCTGGCGGTCTGATTATTATTTTTTTTCCTTTTTTTTGTTCTATTTTTTTCCCTTTTTTGTTTGTTTGTTTCTTTTTCACTTTTAAAATTCCCGCTGGTTCCTCCCCCCGCGACGCGGACAATCGCAAGGGACGGAACCCGAAAGACGGATGCCGGCATTGGCTGGAGGACACAGCGGGGATCGTGGACAAGGTAAGAGACACTATGCTGTAATCATGAGTGTGGCTCGGGGTTATTTTTTAGGGTACTGAAAATTAACCCCGAGCCACGCTCGGGAATACCGCCAAGGAGGTAAAACTGCTTTTAAAGCGTTTTTTTTTGTTTTTTTAACTTTTTGCTTATATCTACTGCTTGCTAGCAGTAGATATATGCAAAAAAAGTGAGGGTTTAGAAACCCTTTAAAGGATATTGTACTTTACAACACGATAGGCCTAATTTACAAAGCTAAAAACCCTAGGATAAGGATCCTTATTTTCAAAAAAAAGTTATTTTCAGATGAGTCCAATAAGATTTGAAAATAACAGTCACAATATTGCTGAAAATAAAGATCATTATCATCATGTAAACGTTTGTGAACTTAGCAAATTGGCTCTGATTCACGAAAATGCAATAAAAAGTAAGGTGTGCTAAATTTTGCTTAAGACATGCTAAAATGACTTATCATTATTGTTATTATTGATTGATAAGTCACTTTAGCAATTCTTAGCCACGCTTTTACAATTGGCAACTTGAATTAGGGCCCTTAATAAGTAATCTATTCAGACATAACGTTGACTATATAACCTCCTTCCTCTGTCTCCCTCTACTGCACTCCCCCCGCAACCATACCATTCCACATGCCTTCAACATAGGGAGGGTGCTGATGAGGACAAGGGCCTCTTCCCCAGGCAGGGGGCTTATCTGACTCTGGTTGCCCTCTTTCATAAAGATGCCGCCCCTGCCCTTGTGAACAAGTAAGGGGTAGTTGTTACTAATATACAAATAACAGTAAAATAGTAAATAAAATAAACACACAACACTGTATACATAGTCCTTTATTTGAAAAAAAAACATACCCCCGTTTTTAGAAGTGCCCCCCCCCCCCCAAAAAAAAATTCCATCGATATAATCCCCGAGTCAATCACGTCACTCAGCAATGTAGATCCACATCAATCACGATGGACAACAGCTGCCAACTCAACGAAAGAAAAAAATCCAAAGTCCAAACCCAACAAACTCTCATCACTAATGGGAGCTCCACTCCACTTTGTACACAAAGGGGTGGAGCAAATTATGACATCACAGGACTTCTTGCACCCCTTTTACATTCTAAGACAGCTCTTGGTTCCCTAATGAAATGTAAACAAAGCCAGGTGATGCCGGCAGGGCCACACAGAAATAAAAATAAAGACAGAGGTCTGAAATCTTTCTTATTCTGTCCAAAACTAAAAATGTTGAGGTTGAAATTCAACTGTAGGATGCAAGCCAGTGTGTGATGATAGTGATGTCTGACAAACGCCAAACTGTGTGGAAAGAATGAAGGAATGATACTGAACACAATACCCCTAATTTTTTCCCCACAATTCAAAACTTAGTAGCAAGGCGGTAAGATAAAAATCTTCTGTCTGTGCTAGACAGTCAAGAAAGGCAGCACATTTGACAAGAAAAATCCACTTAGATTGAAAGGAAGGCATTATAAACCTTAACTAGCCCAGAGTCTTGAAAGGACCTCAGATGAGGCCCTGCCCTAAATGGTCACGTTGTAAAAATCTGGTTTGCAGCTTACATATATACGTATTTGTGAGGCTGAGGTATTGACCTATACTGACCTACAGCTGAAACTTTACAAAGTTAAGTTTCATTCATGTTCCATAACTCCTACTGTAATGGAGTTAACTTCCTAAAAGGTGATTACACTAATGTAGATGACAATACATTAAGCTAGACACCAAACACAACTATATTGCAAGGTCCGGAACTTTAGTAAGACATATTAGACCTTGTAGGAGAAAGAGACATTATAGACGTATCATATTTGCCATCTAACACATAATAATTTAATTCTGCTAAATAATATGCTGCTTCTCAAATTGTGAAACCTTGTCCGATGAAAATATAGATGTACCCAGGATAGTTGGCATTAAGCATGGATCCGCTTTGCCTACGGTCTTTTCCTCTACAAGAAAAGAAAAGGCAAGAAAAGGTAGCTGCACTAGCAGCTAGCAGATGTCAGTACTAGAATTCGAGCTGTCCCTTTAAGCTCACTTAAAACAGCCCTTGCCTGGGAAGCCACAATGATTGGCCAGCTCACCTTTAAATCAACACACCACCAGTACTCGTGATAGATTTGTTACCTATTGTGCTTCTGCTTGACCCAGCTGATCTACTTGTGGATGACCTGGCTTGTTGTGACTCTGCTCTTCCTCTTTGCTGATTCAGTACCGTTTGAACTCTGATCTACACATTTGTGACCCGGCTTGTCAAGACTACGCTTTTGCCTGATCCTGCTGTGTTACCTGGCTCATCATCACAAGTCAGGTGTCCTTACCTGCTCTTGTTACATCTGCAATTCTGTTTGCCTGAAGAAGGAACTGCTGTTCCAAAACGTCGCTATATGATGTGATAGCAATCGAGTCAATAAACCGTTTTTGGAGTGCGAGGGACTTTAAACATACAGTTATGTCATGCAGTAAACACAATATTGCATCATAAAACAATATAGAATATAAATCATGAACAGTTTTTTAAAGGTAAATAATATATTCTGGTTTATAAAAAAACATATGTTTGACATGAATGAGGAACCAGAACTAAATAGACGTTAAACGTTATGATAAAATTTCCTAGTCCCCAGGCATAAAAGATTAATTCTTGAATTAATTAATGTTTTCTGTTTATTATGAGTTATAGACACTTATACATGTGATTGTGAGCTGCATTATGCCTCTTAAGTGGTATATGTATTGATCATGCCTGGAACGCAGGATAATAAAGACATAAGAACAAGTTTTCATTGACAGATTAATGCTAGCGACTAATTCTAATGGGCCTAGCACTATGACTATACCATGGTCATACAGCTGCTTTAAAAACAGTGGAGTTCTTTAAAAATTTGTTTGGTACTTTGCTTGCTTTGGGAGTCCAAAGCAGGTAAAGCTTGATTCAAATTAATACATGGGGGAAAAAAGCCAGGAGGAGGAACCAAGGGAAACTCATGTGACCAGCCCCTCCACTAATCACAAAATCTTGTTTTCAATGTTATACAGTGAACACTCCATAGGCCTCCACCAGCTGCACACTGTGTGTAACTCAAAATCCTGGTACATTCCACACTCTGTCATAAACTAGGGCTAAGTCATGTTTTGCATACTGTACATATCAGTTTACATGTAATGCTACTATGTTTTGATTTGGTTTCAAAGGATAAATGCACCTTGCTCCCAAAATTCTGTTCCTGTGCTATGAGGGGCAAGGTTTAAGTCAATATAGCTTGCAGTAAATAATGGCGAACCTGACACAGACCAACCACCCCATCTTCCTCTATAAGTACCCTTCTCTCCCCTATGCCTTGCTCCTCTTCCCTTGTTATTTGACCGCAATTATTGGCGAATGACAGACAGGATTTTCCCTGCATCACAAGTGCAACTACAGCATCTCCTGTGTAAAATTAAACATGCAGATAGTATCTGCAAGTGCCATTGAAAAATACAATGGAACAACATTATTTTAATATTGCATTTATATTGTGTTCTATTCATGTGCAGATCAAAAGGATAACCTTGATCTGTACATGCCACCACTTAAAGCAACCTTATATGTATGTTCCTCCACAGATGGCAGGAAAACCCAGCACTTTCAGGTATGGGGTAGCCATGTAACCTGCTCCCTTCTGATGATACCCAACTGGGGCATGTCACGTCACAGTTTTCTTGTGTACCCAACGCAGCCAATTATAGTGTTGGCTGTATAGGTGCAAGAAGCTGTGAAGGAGCTCTGGTAGATTGCCCATTGCTCTGGTCCGTAATGGCTATTCAGGTGTGAGAGCTGAACTGGCAAAAAAGACAGCACAGAAGAACAGCTTGCTTTGCAGCTCTGGATAGAAATCTGTTGTTATGTAAAGAACTATATTCTTGTAGCACAGCTGAAAGGTAAATATGCTAATCATGGGAAAAGGAAGCTAGAGCTCCACCTGCTGGTTGGATAAAAGGCTAAATAATAATAATAATAATAATAACAATAATATGCAATGTTTTCCTGACTTAACTTAAAAAAATATTTTTTCATGTTTTTTTGTCCTGACAGTGATAAACAAAGACAAAATGTATAACACGTTAAATTTACAGTTAAAAAGGAAAATCTAGCTAATGCTATATTGGTTTTAACCATATAAATTGCCAAATTGTCACTTCTTATAAAATATATGAGTTTCCAGTTTACTCACATTCAAGAGAAATTAAAACTTTGAAAAGGGATTTTTTGCTCTGAGTATATGGCATTTTAACATGTAATTCTGAAGCATGTGGATTTTTTATCTTTTCAAGATTTATCTGTTTAAATAACCATATTGGGTTGAACTAGAAAACTCTTTTTTTATGCAGTCCATTGATATAAAATGTAACTAAACTAAAAAAACACTTTTTTTCCCAATCTGATCAGTGTTAGTTAACAAAAGAATAAGGCTGGTATAGTTAAGTTAAACTAGAAAATTATTTCACTTCTTCAGCTCTCACATCTATACTCACTATGGACCACTGCCATTTTTAAAATTCTGCTATGGGTGTGTTTCTGCAGCAAAAACTTTGGCATTACGTGACATAACAAAGTAATGCATGTAATATATTGGTTTTTATTTTATGACAAAAAAAGGCTTCCTTCTAGTAATATTGTTTTGCAAAAATCATGTATTTGTTTGCAATCCATAGACAAAAAAGTAACAAAACTAAAAAACAAAATGTTTTTTTAGTTGATCAGTTAGCTTCAAAAAAATTGTTACTGTAGACAAAGGTTTTACATTTTATTCTATGATTTTTCATGTATAACATTGCATTGCAAAATGATTTACAGATTAAATGAAGACTTTATTTACTTTTCTACTTTTTAAAACAAAAAAGTTTAAATATTAATAGAAAAATATAAATAAAGAAAAACAAAATATCAGCAGGAAAAAAAACTAGCTAGGGGGAGAAATGGAAGAAGGAGTTAAATAGGGCAGATTTGGGTAATCCAAGGATTAATAGCAGGTTAAATAGGAACAGATTTTATTTCACTTTTTTCTTCTTTTTTTTAAACTTGTTTAGTTGCTCAACTGACAATCAAATACAGATCAAAGATCAACCCTTTTATCTGCAGATGAACGGAACAGAGTGAATACAAAAATAACAACAGTGTTACTTAATCTCCCTTTCTCAGGTCAGAACAGTGTTTATAAACACTGTGTCAGAAAGCCAATTTTTTTTACAGCAGTGACTGTTAGCCCTCATTCACACTAGAAACGGCCGGCATTTACGGTTGACATTGTGCATGCTAGACATGCCCAAAAAAATTCACTGATGAAAACAGTGTGTAGCATGCCTAGTCCTCCCCTGCTGCCACTCTCCCCCTCACCAGACTGCAGGGAGTTGCTGTGTAAACATATCAATTATTAGCCCTCATTAAGGTGCTGCGAGTTATTAGTATGTCGCCCTTCTCTATTGGACTTCACGGCAGTACGCCGCCCTACACTCACCCGCCCTGCACGTCCGTGTGGGTGCAGGTGAGCGTACCGACGATGGATCCTGTCTGCGTCCGAGCCAGGAAACACGCACCCGCACGGACCTGCAATTGAGGTGAGCGTAGGGGGGGCATATGGCCGCGTAGTCCCATAGAGAAGGACTGGGGTTGCGTACTAATCACTTTTCGGGAGCTGCCCTGTACGGCTGCGCATGCAGCACAGATCTGTGCATGCCGGTCGTTTCTACTGTGAATGAGGGCTAATAGATTATATATTCCCTAATAGATTATATATTCCCTGCAGGGAGTTGCACAGCAACTCCCTGCAGTCTGGTGAGGGGGAGAGTGGCAGCAGGGGACGCATGCTACAACTGTTTTCATCAGTGAATTTTTTGGGCATGTCTAGCACGTACAACGTCAACTGGTTACAGGAAAGTCATGACAGAAATATTGCTGACTACCTTTTGAAAAATGTAGTTTTCTATGTGCCATGGTGATTCTCAAACTTCAGTACATCAACTTACTCAGGTAAGTGAAGTTGGAGTAACGTTAGAACCAACTGTAACATTTGTGGCGGTGGTCATCCTGATCTTGACTTTTCAGCCTGCAACTTTCTGATCTGTGATTATTGATGCAGCTGCAAAAGTTGGAATGGTCTGAATTGCATATTTGTTCCAGGTCACTGTCCTTAAAGATAGTGGAGATAGGACCAGAATAACAGAGACTGTACCATTTAAAACAAGTTCGCAATGGCTGACTTGTTAAATTATATCCGTCCTCACAGGCCACTTCAAAGGGACCATGAAGTGGTTTTGCATACATTTTCAGTATATTTTATGATCAGGAATAAAAATATAAACATTTAAAAAATATCTTACCTTTTAAAGGATTCATTCCTTAATTCCTTATCAGACAGACAGCTCTGTCTGATGATTCAGCAAGAAAAAAACCGCCTCTAGGTAGGCAGCAATTGTTGTGCAGCCTCTTTAGATATGTCAGAGTGCTCCAGAAATCCTTTAAATGTTAATCTGAAAAAGCACATATTTACAGTATGCATGTATATATACTGAATAAATATGAACAGTTCAAAACTGTAAAAACCTAAAAGAGGCAGCCAGACTTCCTTCTGAAAACCTTGTTCCTTGGCTGTCTCTGTCTCCAGTACTTTCTGAATCACAGACCTGAAAGTGCATACCTTCTCTGCTTGTGAGTTCTATTATTCTCTACCCCGTTCATATTATTCTGTTAAGAAAACTAGCAGAGCTCTCACTAGAATAAAATATTTCCACCATACCTGTCACAGCCTTACTCTCATTAACATGAGATGCTTTGCTAAGCGTTCAGCTTAGTTCAAAGGCATCTCATTTGATCACAGAAAGAATTGCTACAGATTATTAGGAAGACGCTGTGTCTCCTGTGTAATCTAAAACACTACAAATGTTCCTGACATCAAAGGATTTAAGGAAGAAACAAATATTTGATTCTGTCTAGAAGATTTAGCAATATACATGAGTTGGAAGTCAGACATGAATTGACTTGACCACCATACAATAATTTTTACCAAGTGATCAAT